AACCTTGAGCAACATCGCGGCAAACAACGGATCGGACATGCTTGTAATGCTTCTGTCATTGATGCTACGGTAAAGCATACGGTACCGTACCGTACCGTACAGTACTCGTACTTTATTGAGCTTCTAGTTTATCTTGAAACGTGCTCGTCTCGTCTGTCCTTCGTGCACCTCGTCTGAGTCCATCACGCGGCTTTTGTTGATTGACGAGACTGTACCGTACTCGTTCGTACGAGTACTCGTACTCGTACCGGTACGATAGTTGCCTTCATTACCAAAGAGTGGGCTTCAGCCATACATCGATGCATCAGTTCGTGTACTCGTAGTCAGCGGATGCATGTTTGGAAGCGCTTGGCTCGTACTACTACTCGTAAAAATACCCGTACCCGGGACCTTGTACTAGCATTCGCTCCGAAGAAGAAAAGTACTTGCACCTGGTACAGGTTGTAACGGCACCGGTACACCAATCGGTGACAGATCGTGATTCACGCCACCTCTGTCGTACCGAATACGAAGGAAGTACCTACAAGTCCAACCGATCCAATAGMACGGGCATCACTCGATTCGGCTGGTTGGTTTGCTTGAATGCTGCCGGCCAGAGGGAACCGGACGCCGTTCAAATCAYAGAGATAGCTCCGGCTCCAAACACGAATTTAGATTCTAGGGCCTAGGAACACGCAGCAACGAACACACCGTCATGGGGAGAGAGAAGCGAAAGGGCCGCCTGAACAAGGCGGGCGACGGCGCCGCGAGCACGGGGGCCTTTATCGGCTTTGGAGCCTTTGCGGAAACGTCGTCGACAGCGACAACGGCACCGTCCGCCTTCGCGGCACACGACCCGCATTCCACAAACAGAGCACCCCAGACAACGGCATCGGCATCAACGGCATCGGCATCGGCATCGGCATCGGCATATGCATCGGCAGGAAGCAACAATGCCGGTTCCCCACAAACCCGGCTGTCCCCAATCTACACCGGATCCGATCCCGCCCTGGCGCTGCTCTTTCCCAAGGTCGGACAAAAACGGGACGCAACGACCAAGAGCAAGGCCCTCCTCGATCTCATCGGCTTCTTTCGCGACGGGAGCACCCCAAAGAAAACCAAGGCCGAGGCCCTTAGCCATTTTCTCTACCTCTTCCAAACCAAGCTGTGCTACGACCACTCCTCGAAGGTCCGGGCGCAGTCCGTCCGTCTGTGTGCCAYGGCCGCTGGGGAATGCCCCAGAGCCTGGAAGAACCTGGTCGTGGGAGGCCATTGCGAAATCCTTGGRATGCTGCTCTGCGCCAGGGCCGATCCGGCCTCGGAGGTGAGAGCCGCCGCCAGCGAAGCGGTTTTCGACAATSCGGACGGCGGATCCGATCGGGCAGCCCTGGCAGCGGATGCCGGGATCTGGGGGTTTGCCCAAAAAATACTGTCCTACCAGAAACCSTTGGACATGCACGCCGACCTGTTCCAGAAAAAAGGCGGGGGGGGGAAACCGAAACCGGCCAGGGCCAATTCCGCGGCGGCAAAGCTCTCCGAGGCCCAGCAGGAAGAACTGGAGGAGCGGTACGAGCGCATCGTGGGGACCGCCATCGAGGGCCTGCGGCTGCACCTGGTGGCCAACCACGCCGCCCGAAAAACGAGACCGGAGTCTAGGGTGGAGAACCCTTCCACGGTCAAATACCTCTGGAGGACGCTGGCAAGCCACAAGGCCTCCCTGAGGCGGCACACCTACTCGCTGCTGTCGACCGTCTGCCAGCTGTCCAGGATCGACCTGGTGGATTCCGACAAGCTCTCGAAGCTCCTGGCCCAGTCCGTCTCGTCCGAAAAGGAATCGGCCAACCTGGGGGTCCTGCTGGAAACACTGCTGGCCTTTGTGGCCTCGTGCTATATCACCAGGGCCGAGCGGTCCACCGTCCTCGAGCAGCGGTTTTCCAGACCCCTGTCCAGGCTCTTCAAGAAGGGATGCCACGGAGCGGCTCCCACCTCGAGCTGGACCCCCACCATCCTGCCCCTCGTCGCATTGCTGCCGAAACACGCCTCGGACGACAGCGGCGGTGGCCTCCCCCCGCGGATCGATCTTCTAACCAACGCCTGGGAGGGCCGGACGCATGTCGTGGGGGCTTCCGACCGCTGCGAGATTGTTCGGGCCGTTGCCGAAACAGCGGCCTTTTTGCTGGCCAGGGAAGAAGAAACGAGCGAGAACAATCCGTGCGACGACGGGGGTGCCTTTGACCAGATCCTGGCTCRGTGCTGGATCCACGCCCTCACGAGCTACCTGGCCGGTGGTTCCTCCCCCGAGCGGGGGAGCGGCAAAGCGAGCGGCAGTGGCGGCGGCGGTTCCCTTGCCCACCGCGCCCTGGGGACGACGCTCGCCAAGGGATGGCTGCAGCTCGATCGTGCCTCGCACAGGGCGGGCGTCGACCCATCGAAATCCCCGCCGATCGTGTACCACATCGGGGAGTGGTTTTGGAACGAGGCACTGGAGRCGGCCGTCCTAGCCGGGACCACTAGGAAGGCAAACCTCACCCACCTGCTGGCCGAGATCCGTGCCCAGCAGAAAAGCGGAAGCGGCGGCGGCAGCACCTCGGAAACCCCGCTTCGGTCGGCCCGGGTGCTGGGCCGAAAGTTCCGGTCGCTCGCGCCTGGAAACAATGCATCCTGGGTGCCTGACAGGGACGTCTACCAGTTGTGGATTGCCATACTCCGCCTYGTGCCCTCGCTCGGCAAGGAAGTATTTTCCTCCGCTACAATGGGTGGTTCGATCGAAGGCTTTGTCGCGAACAACCTCCTGTCGTGGGCCGTCCTCCACACCAGCCGCCTTTCCGACCGGAGYGGTAGTGGCCTCGCGMTTTTGGACGTGCAGCTGTTGCACGGTCTCTCGGTCGGTTTCCCGGATCGTTTTCTAGAATGGTGGCGCCCGATCCTCCGGGAGATTCTCCTGGCGCAACCGGACCTGGGAATACTCACCGACTGCCTCGGATGGTTGGCAAGGGAGGGAAAGCWTTKCGCAGGCGATCTGACCACGGAGGGTGGTACAGATGCAGCCGAYGGTCCGAATGTGTTTTCCGGGTTTTGCATCGAAACGGCACGGACAGYGGTGGCACAGACCAGTAGTGGCGAGAAGGCGMACCACCGCCATTCCGACCTCGACGGAGAATCCGAGAGCGAGGGCAGCCATTTCGATCCCAACGAAGAMGACGACGCAGAGCACCGAAAGACCRGCCGCTTTCTGCGGGCATGTGTCGGATTGGATGACCAGACGGTACCAGTGACCCTGGTAGGGGRGCGCGTTGTCGATGCCTGGGTTGCATGCGCTTGCCCCATTCGCGGAGAAGACGACAACGGAGATWCCGYCAATGAGAATCCCGTCCTGGATACTCTGGTAGCCATGATCCGGGCCAAGAAACTRTCAGGCGCTGGAGAATCKTCCTGKAGGACAGAGCGTGTGTTGCTGCAATCGTGGAGRCAGGGTGGCAGTCTGTGGGAGGACGAATGTCTCCCTTGGCTGTTGCAGGTCGAAAACTCCGTGGATCGATCATYCCTGATTCAAAACGCAAGCACAGAATCCAAAAGCTGCGYAGGGAAAGCATGCGMGGGAACGAACGACGATTTGGCTTGGGACTGGACCGAGCGTGCCCACCGATTGCTGCGGCTATGCTCGAACAAAAGGGGAGAGAGCAGCTCTRCTCTTCCCTCCCTTGCCATTGTYGGTCTCGGGGATGTGTCGATGTGGGAGAAAGGGGCCCGTTTCGATTTTCTGTCCACCTGTCTATTGAAACTGATCCGTCGTGTAGAAAATGTATCCAGTCGATGGCAGCTCTTTATCRATTCCGAGACCGACACCATGGATCTCTTCGTCGCGGTCCTATTCCAATTGTCTACAGGCGCGGAAAGCCCTATCGAAGCGGACCTGGCTCGAAGGCGGAAGGATCCTTGTGCCATGCTCCTGGCCGATCTCGGGTTCGCTGACTTTGACTCCGACACGATAATGGATAGCATCGGGTGCTGCGTTTCGAAACTTTCTCGTTTGCTCGAGCAATCKACGATAGACCAAGCAAAAATCTGCCGGGGCATTGCGGTGCTGTCCCAACTCATCGACACACGATTTGCTTCGTTGCGTCCAGATCCAATGGCCGATGCAGCGCGGGAGGCATTGGATGCTTCCGATGTTCAATCAGGCGACAAGATCTGGTACGTAACGAACACAAACGATCCAACGRCTCAAGAGCCATGCGTCCTGGTYAAGATACACAATGATCTGCCCGAAGAGGTTTACTTCACAATTCGACTTAGCAGAAACGGAGARCAGCAAGAACGRCAGACAGTGAGGGAAAGGCTGCGAAAAGTTCGGTGGACCAAGAGTGACGACAACAAAAGCACCAAAGAGAGAAGGACCATATCGGTTGACCAGATTGGAGACGAAGAGAAGCGGGAGAGGGAAAAAATCGTGGGACCGATTTTAGACAAACTCATCAAGTCGATCGATTCGGCACAGCCGAATTCCTACTACGAGATTTACAACATTGTWATTGTGCAATGTGGATTGGTCAGTGGCCGTGGAATCGGCAGTGCTCATTATTYCGTCGTTCAAAAACTCATGGAGTTGCAGCAGCGATTGTTAGAATCCTTGTCGTCCAACGATGCTAGTGCTAMGATTGCATCTGCTTTGTGGCACCTTGCCCTAGCTCTAGGGTACGGTATGAATGCACCCGCTTCTGAATGGTCGATCCCATTGAYCGGTTTGAACGCAGCAGATTCCTTGCCGCTGCTGTTGGCATATGAGGAAGACGAGGGAAACGAATCTACGAAGGACATGGATTGCGCTATGGCAGCATGGATATCTGTTTGTGCATCTGCGTGCGACGACATCGTCCTCCRGACCCAGGCTTACTCAACGCTTTTCGAACTAGCAACTCGATTGCTTTGTTATCACAATGGGGATGAGTATGGTTTGAATCCCTGTCACTACATCGCTCTTAGAGCCATTGAGGTAGGCCAGATCGAAAGTCACAAGGCGAAAGAAGGAGAATCGGTGATACAGGAGAGCGAGGCCGAGGCTCTGACAGAATTGACCAAGGTATTCTCAATGGTATGGAGTAGTACTGAGGAAGATAAATGTGTATCTACTAGCTGGRATTCGATCCCTCTCTTTGACTCCATCATAAGAGCAAGTCTGAGAAAACGACCAACTTTGATGGCAATCGCGAGTCGGCAATGTATTGATGCGTTGGCCAAATCTCTCTACGAGCCAATCAAGCAGAGGTATTCGATGCTCATTCTGCAAGCGTATGCTMGAGAGGGACGACCTCTCTTTGACGATGTTGACGACGACGATCTTATCAATCCAAAAACTCTTGAGCGCCTTGACATGTGGTCGGAAGATATGCTCGAGAGCGAAGCTGATGAATTGGAAGATGACGTAGCCTCTGTTGCACAATGGGTTTGCAAAGAGCTCATGAATGACGTTGAATCTTGGCACGACGATGACGATATTGATGACGAAATAGCGTGCGGTCGCATGCTATCATGGCTGTCCGTGTTAGATATTACAGATACAGCMACAGGAAAAGATTCTATGAACCGTCTGGCATTCACTTCTTATGTCTCGAAAGCCAATGCTGTCGATGCAATACTAGATCTTGCCTTGATCTACTGCAACGTGGGCTCTGAGCGAAAAGCCGAAATGGACATAGTCGTTCCATTGGAAGAAATAGTGGAATGCATGTCGTTGTCAAGGCTTGCAGCCCGTGTCATTTTTCGGTCGATCGAGGTGTTCCCCACATTGTCGAAGAATTGGTGGGATTCTTCTTGCCCCAAATATTTAACTTCTACTGTGAGAGAGTTCGTGGAAACGCAGGTCTCTCCCGATATTTTGAACCTTGCCGTCCAAAGCATACGGAATGCAGCTGCCTTTGGAGAGATGAAAGTCAAGGGCAGCCCGATCACACGCGAGGTTAATGCCACTTACGTGCAGGACGATTTCACCCTGAGTGTCGTCATTAAGTTACCACTTTCGTTTCCTTTCCGTCGAGCCGAAGTAGATTGCTCGAAAACGCTTGGTGTTCCGGAATGTCGATGGAAGCGATGGTCTCTCCAGATCACCCAGATGTTGAACAATCAAGGTGGGACGTTGAAAGATGCTCTGCTACTGTGGAAAGAAAACGTCGACAAAGAATTYGAGGGTGTCGAACCTTGTCCTGTATGTTATTCGGTTCTGCATGTGAAGTCTCACAAGCTTCCGAATCTGGAATGCAACACATGTCACAATCAGTTCCACTCCGAATGTTTGTTCGAGTGGTTTAAAAATAGTGGAAAAAGCGCATGTGTCATTTGCCAACAGCCATGGAGTGGAACYAGAATCAATTAAAGATTCAATTATACTTCAAATGAAAAAAATTATGTWCTTTTTTAACACTRATTAGAAATGATTTTGAAACACTTCATCGTCCAAGATCGACAGGTGCTAGTATCTGCGTRTTTTACATTCAACAGCGYGATGAGATGTGCATCGCCATATGGCTCTCTCCATAAATGATCGCAAGTATTCTTCACTCCGACTTTCCTTTTCCTTGGCTATCAAGGGCGTAGAGACCGCCCATCARTGCAAGGTATCCCAAAGGTGGAACTACACTTTCTCCGACAGAATGATGCCCGTATACTGCACATGTCGCAGAGAGAGACAATCCCAATCGGGCGATCCACTCTGGCATGGGGCCGATTCCCCATAATGCTAAAACGCCCAAAATCTTGCACGGTCCAAGTACGAGCAAGAAACCCTTCATTGGAATTCCAAACGGATCGATGAACGGCGCAGCAACAGGGATCATTGCTTCGTCCAACGGAACCAATCCGAGTCCCATAATCGTCATGAACGCTCCTGGTATGAAGCTGAATGACAGCAACGACTTCACAATAGTTTTGGGGGTCGGCATGGTGGATACTAAAATATTTGAATATGTTTTGAAGAGAGGTTTTATGATTCCGTRYTGTACGGTACAATAAATCAAAAAATTGAGTACGAAAAGGGGCAGGTGAAAAAATCCTGGATATCGGATACCGGGTATCGGAATTGCATGCCGAACTTGCATGCTAAATTATGACCCCTGCTGGCAAGTATGTTACTGTACGCAGGGGTCATAACTGTACGTACGAGTACGATAATAGTATTCCCTATGTAGACATTTTCGCAGTTATCGTCCWTCTCTTCCGTCCTATCTACCGGAAGTGTCAGGGTGTGAGCCCAACACGCGTAATTGACGAAATCCTTCTGTCCCTGCAACAGACACCCTTCTGACAGCTGTTCCGTACCCAATTAGTAGTAAAAAGCCWYCTTTGGATTTGGGCATAGTGCGCACGCAAAGAGGAGTACAAAGTGAAGGCCCAACGAAGAAGAAAATGAGAACTATCACAACGTCACCAGCCGTCAGACAACAAGGGAACCAATCTGAAACCGAGAATGGCCTAAACTCCACCGCAACAAGAAATATTTCAAAAATAGAAAACTTCTCGCAAAACGTTGAAGTGCCAACTTGAATCTTTTCCGTCACGGGGAATCGAACCCCGGTCTCCCGCGTGACAGGCGGGGATACTAGCCACTATACTATGACGGAATTACTTAACTTTCCATTTGTTGTGTTACCAAGACTACTGTAAACTCCTCTATAACGGTGCCAAAATACTCTCGTCGGAAAGYAGGTTTGGCTRGTGCTTTCTCTGTGCCAGAGGTGATAGATGTAGTAAATGAATCTACTCGATAGTTACTAAATGTGTTGCTGATGATTGGTCGATGAACAGRGGTGAGTWTCTTTGTTGATCATAACCTTTGAAATGCTGATACGCTCTCTAGTGTCGTATGAATACGTTTTTACAATGAAGAGTGAGGTTATTCACTAGCTACTCGTWATTCATGTGTGGATAAATGCCTCRCACTTCTAACCAAAAAATAAGGAAATGAGATCCAGWGAWTGTTTACAAAACTTAGAGCCCACTTGTCGTGCAAGATCGGAGCAGACCCGAACTTTGTTTCTGTATATTTCAAGAATGGTATGAAATAAAAATAATTRTAATAACAGTGGTACCTTTACTAGTAATTTGGCGGTTGGTGCCAAAATACTGCTTTGTCGTTACATATTCTAGGATTGCTAGGTTTTTGTTTCCAATACTAGCTTCTTGGGTATGCCAGCTAACAAAGTAGTAACWACAAACATGATTCCAAATAATCTAACCGCAATGTTCCATTTTTTGGAGTTATTGCAACCATGACCTAAATTTGGTACTAAGTCGTCTTAGAAACGGTGCGGTAGGGGTGTAGTCGGTCACGGGGACGTAGTCCGGATCGCCGGCCTTTGCTGGTTCGATTCTGTCAAAGTGGGCGGTCGGAGCAGCAACAGGTACATAGTCTGGATCACYAGCCACTACGGGCTTGATCYGGTCCCAATGAATCCCATTTGTACCTCCGTYGTCGTCRTCGTCCAGCGTCATCGTCATTATAGCTATTCCTTCCTTTTCTTCGYCCTCTTTTTGTGCCGCACATYTTTCTTTTCCCGAGACATAAACCTTGGACGATGAAACGGAACCCTTCATTACGTGGGTTTGCAGACAACATCGTTGCCGTTGTTTAACTCGTTCCTTTYCTTGTACGTGAGGCTTTTGATTTCTTTTTTCTTTCTCGTTATCGTCACGATCATCGGAATTGCTTCCACTATCGTAGCCCTTGAATGAATGTTTGTACTYGTTCGATTCTAATCGATCAATTTCTATTTGTAATTCAACCACTGTGCTGTTCATTATGGCAAACAGATCAAGCATTTCCTGGTCAACTTCGTCGTTCCGATCGCTGGAGGTATCAGCCGCTGCGTCCATTCTGATGGATATTCAGACTCGCCCAATGGAATTTATCAGATGTAGAATCTCCGTTTGTCGGAAGATTAAGCCTYTATGAATGGCTGCTTGCTTGTTAGATGTTTTTCTATTTCTGCTCGTCCTCTTCTTCCCAGGGAATAGTGCGTATCATCAATCATTTTAATAATGAAAAATACGTTTCGTATATAGATAGTTCAATAACTCTTCAATAATATGGCCGAACAACGATGCGATTGATGAACGTGTTGACATTTGATGTGAATTTTTGTGGAAGAGTAGACCATGATAATTACTGTAWTTGTTTGATTTTATCGTCCTGTGATGCCATCCATGTCACTTTCTTGTGACACGAAAATTACGTCGCACGATTCATAAAAGTAAGCACGGTATGTGATATATCTGTGGAGGAGCTCGCGCAGCGCGTGTACCATAAATGTAACCAGAATTTTGTACCATGTCAAGTCCGTGATAATAACACGGACTCGACATGGTACAAAATTCTGGTTACATTTATGGTACACACAGTGACATCACTGAGATCGAGAGCTTTAGCTCGAGATCAAAGTGATGTTCTTACTGCAAGTATCTTCAACAAGAAGCTCAAGAGCTTTAGCTCGAGAGCTTGTTGAAGATACTTGTTGCGCTGAAGCAGAGCTCTTCCACAGATATTTACGTAACCGTTGAGCAGCTCAACATTTCAATGTAACCACGAGCGCTTGGTTACTGCGCATCGAGCAAATGAACTACAAGCACTGCCTCCTCCGATTGAGCAGCTGATACGATACGGTCGAGCGAGCCGCTGATGCGATACGGAGAGGAGGAGCCAGCGCTGATACGATACGGAGGAGCCAGCGCTGCTGATACGATACGGAGGAGCCAGCGCTGCTGATACGATACGGCGGAGGAGCTGCTGATACGATACGGCGGAGGAGCTGCTGATACGATACGGCGTTCTGCTCTGTTGCTGGTGTTTTGCTTGATTTTTTGCTTGTTTCCCCCTGCAAATCAATATTTCTACGGTGTTTTCTACACGAGTTTGTACTGGAATAGCAATCGAGATGAGTTTTCACTGAAACTGCTTACATTTTTTTAGTAGTACTCCTCGTACAAAATACAGTACAGTACTGTGTACAAGTACTGATACTACATATTTACATTAGTGAAGACAGTTTTTAGTTCGTACCTGTTGAGGTGCATGCGCCTGGTTACAAGCGCGCACAAGGGAACCAGTGCGCCTGTTTTTGTAACCAGACCCTTTTTTTTGTAACCACACTACTAGTGTTATCGTGGTGAAAATATGGGCTCTCCTTAAGGAAGGGTTTGGTTACAATTTTTGGTTACAAAAACTCAATTCGCGCGCTTGTACCATGTTGAGGTGCGTGTATTTAAGCAAAAAATAACTAGTGTTTGTTAGTGTTAGTTTTTTGTATCCGCGCAGTAACCAAGCGCGCGTGGTTACATGGAAATTTTGAGCTGCTCAACGGTTACCGTACTCAACGGAAGAAAAATATTGTGACGTAATGGATGATTTCTGATTTCCGATTTCCGATTTCCGTTCATAGAAATGGTAAATTTGATAGACAGACAGACCAATAGTCTATCACACGTTGTCATAGATTTAGCATTTTTAGAATGGGTTCATCCGCCCCATTCTAAATGTGATAGTGCAATCTATGATGGAACCCAAGAGTCAAAATTGTGAGTCTGTTGTAAGATTCAACAGAAAGCGTGCCAGACTCTTAACACTAGTACTCGGCAAAATTAGACCCGGTTATCATCCTGCTAAACAAGAACAACGAACAAAGAGAGGCACCTCTATTAGTAACAATGGCGCCCAGGCGCCTCTATGGTGGCATATAAATTATGTCCCAATCARTGCTCTTAGTCAGTACATTCTATGTCCTTTCTHTGTTGCAGCAAAGAGAGCAACAACAATACAAGGAGGAGGAGGCTGGCAACCTCAAGAAAGAGGGAGCTCGTCATTGTCGCCCAACCGCCTCAAAGGAGAGGAGGCTCATTATCCCATCCCCYACATTATATTTGTTAAGATGGATCCAACTGGCAATACTGGCTGCAGGTCTGGTACTATGAACTACTCTTGAGATGAGCTCACTAGTCTCATGAGATTGATATTGGACACCATGCTCCCTGCTGTAGATGCTGATAGTACTAGCTGGGATGGGCTTGTGGCAAAGCATGCAGAGAGATGGCCTATAGGTAGGACCAATGCATCCATCAAGACTAAGTATGCAGCTGTGAAAAGGACTAAGAGCTCAACCAGAAATCCAAACATGCCAGAGTATGTGAAGATGGCACAAAGGGCCCATATCTTGATTGGTGAGAAGGCAAATCTTGGTACTGGTGAGGAGGACTTTGATATGAAGAAAGGTTTCATTAAGAGTGAGGATGTGSAGGGTTTAGAGTCTCCAGTGCTGTCTTCAGCTGCAACTTCCAGGGYAACWGCAGGTTTTTTTATTATTCTTGCCAGAGACACATCTACTGTTGATGGTGGAGAAGAACAACAGGAGCAGGAGGAGTYCACTGCTGTAGCTTCCTCAAGCAATTTGACCCCTTCTCTTGTTGAATCAACCCCAAGGAAGAGATCTTATCAGCAAGAGAGGAAATCCAGTGTCCCCAACACTGCTGTATTCAATGAATACATTAAGAGCCAGGGAAAAAGAGAGGAAAGAAGAGACAAAGAGAACCGTGAGATGTACAAAGAGAATTGTCAGATGCGGAGGGAAGTTATTGGTCATGGTAGGAACTATATGATGCTAAATATAATGACCTAACTCCCATTKTTGACAAAGTTACTATGCTGCTCATAGTGTTTTGGGTTCCTGGCCAATTACTGGTATTTGGTGTACTGTTAGGACATCATTTCTTGGTGCAAATTATCATAGATGAGTCCTTTTCTACTATTGATGCCAAGGGGGATATGTGAAGCTAAAATAAGGGTGTAAATAATTTTTTGACAATGATATGGCCCTCATACTGATTTGGATCCTTGCCAGCAGCAAATACAGGTCCAATATTCCCAAAATATCATTGATTAGTAATCTAAGGATAGTACAGTCCTGGATATTGGTGCCAGGGGGGGATGGGATGCCAAACAGAGTCACCTAACACTTTATTTTGACCAAGTTATGGTCCTCATGATATGTCTGGGTTTTTTTGAGCAAATACTGGTGTTGTCCCAGTGTGGAGCCTCTTTTTCCATGCCTAAAAGAGATGACTCCAAAGAAAGATGAAATGCCTCTCTATTGGTGCCATGGGGGCTATGTGATGCTAAGTACAATGATCTTACTCCAATTTTTGACAAAGTTACTCCCCTCACAGTGATTTTGGTTSCTGGGAAGATATTAGTACATATGATGTTAGAGTATTATTTGTTCCAAAATACCATAGATGAGGTTAGTAGCAAGAAACATTCCTGTCTATTGGTGCCATGGTAGGTGTGTGATGCTAAATATAATGACCAAACTCACATTTTTGATAAAGGTGTGGTGCTCAAATTGTTTTTGGTCCTAGACAGATAYGAGTAGTATTCTTGCTGTCAGAATACTAGTATTCTTTCCAARATATGGAAGGTGAGGTTTGAAGCAAGTTACAGTCTTGTTTATTGGTGTCAACGGGGGTATGTGATGCTAGTAAATGTAATGACCAAACTCCAAATTTTGACAAAGTATGGTGCTCATAGTGTTTTTGGTCCTGGGAAAATAACAGCAATATCAATATCAATATCAATA